CACCACCCGCCTTCTCCTCTTGGGAGTGGTGGTCATGGAACCCCCAACCTCAGGACATCGCATCTCATGCCTTCCAACCAGCGGAGTCTCCTTCTGCTTTCTCGCCCCAGACATATCATCTGGTCCACTCTCCGCAACGGTACCTGTGGAGAGAACATGAAAGCGGTTAGTTACCTGTGACTGTGTTACTGGAACCCGGACATTCCGCTTACCTCTTCTGGAGGTCACATGTTGCCAAGCTTCTTCACTGGCCTCTTGGCTCCTCTGTGCAACCTGCTCTATATCTGTAGAGCTTTGTGCCCCTAGAAGCCTATCCTGAGTTTTGTCCAGAAAATCCTCAGTTTCTCGTATGCAACGCAGGGTCGTTATCTGTTGCTCCAGACCTTCAATCTTCTCTTCCAATATGGAGACCAGCTTGCACTTTGTACAGACAAAGTCGCTTCTGTCCTGTGGAAGAAAGACAAACATGGCACATCCAGTGCAGGTCACAACAGCTGAACCCCCCCCTTCCATATCACCTTCCTACTACGAGCTTCCTCAGAGCAGTTTGCAAGACGTAAGCTTCACTGGGTTGCTGAGCCTCGTCCCATCCCACGGCCACAAGGAGCGGGAAGATAGCGTTGCCAACCCTTCTGGTTTTGCCAGGAGTCTCCCGGAATCAGGATCTATCTCCCGGAGGCCCCTGAAGCCAAACCGGGAGATTTTCGGCTCTAGAACTCAGGTGGGACAGTGGGGCCCTGGCCCCGCACCACTCCCGGAAGCAGCGGCAGGTCTGCTGAGGTGCCTGAAAGCTGGGGTGGGCCCTGCTGAAGGGACGATCACTCCTTTATGGTACTTCCAAAAGCCCTGTAAGAACTAGGTCCAGGGTGGGGCGTGGGCAGGCGCCTGCTCACCCTGTGACAGAGGAACACCAACACACTGGCTGTAGGCTGAGTCTAGTGGGCTTGGCCTCCACCGAGGCTGCATCGCACTCAAGGGCAGAGCGGAGCAGGCCCTCAAGGAAACCATTGTGAAGCACTCGGAGGAGAGGAAGGTGATCGGGAACAGTCAGCATGGATTCACCAAGGGCAAGTCATGCCTGACCAACCTGATTGCCTTCTATGACGAGATAACTGGCTCTGTGGATATGGGGAAAGCGGTGGATGTGACATATCTTGATTATGGCAAAGCTTTTGATACGGTCTCCCACAGTATTCTTGCCAGCAAGTTAAAGAAGTATGGATTGGATGAATGGACTATGAGGTGGATAGAAAGCTGGCTAGATTGTCGGGCTCACCAGGCAGTGATCAATGGCTCGATGTCTAATTGGCAGCCGATATCAAGCGGAGTGCCCCAAGGGTTGGTCCTGGGGCTCATTTTGTTCAACATCTTCATTAATGATCTGGATGATGGTTGCAGATGACACTAAACTGGGAGGAGAGGTAGATACGCTGGAGGGTAGGGATAGGATACAGAGGGCCCTGGACAAATTGGAGGATTGGGCCAAAAGAAATCTGATGAGGTTCAACAAGGACAAGTGCAGAGTCCTGCACTTAGGACAGAAGAACCCCATGCACTGCTACAGACTAGGGACCGAATGGCTCGGCAGCAGTTCTGCGGAAAAGGACCTAGGGGTTACAGTGGACGAGAAGCTGGATATGAGTCAGCAGTGTGCCCTTGTTGCCAAGGTGGCCAAAGGCATTTTGGGATGTAGTAGTAGGAGCATTGCCCGCAGATCGAGGGACGTGATCGTTCCCCTCTATTCGGCACTGGAGTACTGTGTCCAGTTTGGGGCCTTCCATTACAGAAAGGATGTGGACAAATTGAAGAGAGTCCAGTGGAAGGCAAAGAAAATGATTGGGGGCTGGGGCACATGACTTATGAGAAGAGGCTGAGGGAACTGGGCTTATTTAGTCTGGAGAAGAGAAGAATGAGGGGGGATTTGATAGCTGCTTCAAATACCTGAAAGGGGGTTCCAAAGAGGATGGATCTAGACTGTTCTCAGTGGTAGCGGATGACAGAACAAGGAGTAATGGTCTCAAGTTGCAGTGGGGGAGGTCTAGGTGGGATATTAGGAAACACTATTTCACTAGGAGGGTGGTGAAACACTGGAATGCGTTACCTAGGGAGGTGGTGGAATCTCCTTCCTTAGAAGTTTTTAAGGTCAGGCTTGACGAAACCCTGGCTGGGTTGATCTAGTTGGGGATTGGTCCTGCTCTGAGCAGGGGGTGGGACTAGATGACCTCCCGAGGTCCCTTCCAACCCTGATATTCTATGATTCTATGTAAAATACTGATCGATTAACTGGTAAGCATTAGTCTTACCAATTAATGGACCCTAACCATTAACCCCCAGCCCCAGGCCGCACCAGCCCGCCAACCCCAGCCGCGCCAGTTGGCCAGAGCAGGCCCAGCACCTCCAGCCCCTCTCCCTTTAATCTGTTAACAGATTAAATGACATAATTTTAGTTGTTTAAATGGTTAACTTTTTAAAGGAATATTAACATCCCTACTCAGTAATCTGCTGTTGGGACAGGCATTGGGGTGCACGGGATGAGGCGCACCATACCGCGTGTTGGGACAGGCACGTATATTGAAAGGTGAGTTGTGGGGCGTGTTGCTCATTGTAGCAGTGGAGAGAGGTCTGCAGATTTTGCATCTGTTGCTCTGGCAGGGTCTGGCGCCGCTTTGAGTAGGTGGATGCTGGTCTGTGGGGAGCTTGCTTCTGATGATGAGGTTGGAGGGGCTGGGGGCTAGCAGGGTGCGGGGCCTGGCAGAACTCAGCCTGTATGGGGCCCCCTTAACATTTTTTATACAGGTGAAATCTGGTGTGGGGCGGGGACACCAGTGATGAGGGACGAGGGAGAGTCACAGGGTGGCACCTATGCTAGGGGCAAGGGACCCCCCTGTGCTGGGGGGTCCCAGAAAATGGAGGTGTCCAGGGCGGAAGGGCAATGGACGGGGTCAGTCTGGCGCTGGCGTGCTCTGGCGGCGCTAGGCCGCTGGTGGCTGGTGGGGCGGCGGGCGAGCAAGAAAAAGAAATACAACGTACGCTTCCCAGCGGTGAGCGCAGGCCTGACCCGCGCTGCTGGCGCCCGGCCCCCCGTTGATCCCCTGGGCCGGCCTGCCCCCCCCCCGCATACTTAACCCCACCCCTGGGCTGGCCCGGCCCCCTAACCCCCCCCCTCAGGCCGGCCTACCGCCCCCCCCCACAACTCATGCACACTGCAGCACAGGGCCCCCTAAAGTGCGGGGCCTGGAGCGGTTGCCCCAGTTTGCCATACCCAAGGGACGGCTCTGGGGGCCAGAAGAGGGGGGGTTCGGGACAGATTTCTTTCAGGGCTGATTACCCCATGGACGCGTGCGTTGTTTACTGTGGCCACAAGGTGGCACAATCGCTGTCTGCCGTGCCGAGAAAGCAGCCCCGGGGTGAGCCCGCCGCGCCGGGCGCTGAGCTCTGCGCTGCAGGGAGGCTGGCCTGGCTTTGTGCGTTGCGCTGAGAGCACAGCGGGAGATGGGCCTCTGCCTGGTTTCTTGCTCTCCTCTGGACTCTCCCCATCTTTCCTAAAGAGCGGTGCCCAGAACGGGACACAGCCGCCCCACTGCTGGCTAGAGCGGGACAATGACCTCCCGAGTGTTAGGCCATTGCTGTTAATACACCCCAATAAATTAGCTTTTTTCACAACTGCCTCACATTGTTGCCAGCCTGAAGAAGAGCTCTGTGTAAACTCGAAAGCTGGTCTCTCTCACCAACAAAAATTGGTCTACTAAAAGCTATCACCTCACCCACTTTATTGACTTCTAGTCAGTGGGTGATCCACTGTAACCCCCAGATCCTCTTCAGCAGCACTGTCACCTAGCCCGCTAGACCCCATTTCGGAGTTCTGCACCTGATTTTCCCTTCCTAAGTGAAGTACTTTGCACTTGTCTTTACTGAATTTTATCTCACTGATTTCAGACCAATGCTCCAATTTGTCATTCTGAATTCTAATCTGGTTCTCCAAAGTCCTTGCAACACCTCCCAGCTTGGTGTCACCCGCATATTTTATAAGCATACTCTCCATTCCATTATCCAGCTTGTTAACTGAAATATTGAATACCACCAAACCCAGGACTGACTGATAACTACACTTTGAATATGGTCTTTCAACCAGTTGTGCACCCCCCTTCTAGTAATTCCATCTAGACCACATTTCTCTAGTTTGCTTGTGAGAATGTCATGTATGACTGTGCCAAAAGCCTTACGAAAATCAAGATACATCATGTCTACTGCTTCCCCCATCCAGTAGGCCAATAACCCTGACAAAGAAGGAAATTAGGCTGGTTTGGCAGGATTTGATCTTGACAAATCCATGACGGCTATTCCTTATAACCCTATTATCCTCTAGATGCTTACAAACTAATTGATTAATAATTTGTTCAAGTATCTTTCTAGATATTGAAGTTAGGCTGACTGGCCTATAATTCCCCAGGTCCTCCTTTCTCCCCTTTTTAAGATAAGTACTATGTTTGCTCCTCATCCGTCCTCCATGAGTTCTTGAAGATAATTGCTAATGGTTCCAAGATTGTTTCAGCTTGTTCTTCTTCGAGTGCTTGTTCATGTCAATTCCATTCAGGTGTGCATGCGCAGAAGATTTTTCCCTTAGCAGCATCTGTCGCGCCGGCCTGGGTGCCCCCTGGGGTCATGCCTTCATGGCGCTCAATATAGAGCCCTGCCGACCCGCCACCCCTTCAGTTCCGTCTTACTGCCAGTAACCCTGGCTGGAACTTCTGTGATGAAGTGGGACTGTTCTTAATGTTTCCTCTGAATAGTGTGGGGGTGCCTCAGTTTCCCCTAGGCAGTTCTTAAGTATCTAGGGGGTGGAGTAAGGGTGTATGATCATTGCAGAGCCCTAGAGGGCAGGTGTGTGCAGGAGTCTGGACACAGAGAATGGCCGACACCCTGTTTCCTGGCAACTGATGGCCTGGGCCCTTCCCCCCCTGCAAGGTGAGAGCTGAAGGGCTGGAGAACAAAGGAATCAGGTGACCACCTGGCCCGGGAAAGGAACAAAGCCCAGAGGAGGAGGGGCTGGAGGGGGTTTCAGTTTGGGGCTGGCTGGGACATGGAGTGAAGTGCAGACGGGGTTGTCTGGCTCACTGCCCCCCCAAAATGGACCCAGCTGAGGGGTCCCGTTCTCTGCACCTGCAAGCTCTGTTTTAGACCATGTTCCTGTCGTCTAATAAACCTTCTGTTTTACTGGCTGGCTGAGAGTCACGTCTGACTGCAAAGTTGGGGTGCAGGACCCTCTGGCTTCCCTAGGAGCCCCGCCTGAGCGGACTCGCTGGGGGGAAGCGCACGGAGGGGCAGAGGATGCTGAATGCTCCGAGGTCAGACCCAGGAAGGTGGAAGCTGTGTGAGCTGTGTGTCCTGAAGACAGGCTGCTCACAGAAAGGCGACTACCCCAGAGTCCTGACTGGCTTCATGGGGAGCAGTTCCAGATCATCGCCCAGGGACTCCGTGACAACTGGTGGCAGCGGTGGGATGTACTGCACCCCGTGGATGGTGCTTCCTGCAGTAAGTGACTGGGGAGCAGTAACACGAAGGGGGATTGCCGAGGACCAGGAGGAGGAGCGGTTTCGGGGGGGCGGTTAACCCCTGGGAGTGTGTGACCAGCGAGAAGGACTGTGCAGTAACAGGGTTCCCCTGGAGATTGCAGCGAGCAGTCTCAGGGGCGGAGGAGTCTGCAGCTCGACCCTGGCAAAGAGGTGGTGACCTCGAGAAGGGCTGGCACACTAGGGGTTCTCCCTGGAAACCGTGGGGAGCTGAGAACACACGGGCCTGTGAGTCCACAACAACTTGGGAGGAGCGGAGTGATGGCCTGTCACCGTCTCCTTAAGAAGGACATTGTAACCCTGTGCAGAAAGAGAGGGTTGAGCGTTGGAAAGTTCACCAAAGCAGAGTTAATCGTACAGCTGGAGGAGGATGACCGCTCTAAGGAACAGATTCCTGACCCCAACTGGGGCTATAGCAGGATCTGGGAGCAGCTGGAGTGGGAGCCAGGCATCGCCAAGACTCCTGTCCCCGACCAGACGAGGGTCTTCACGATCGGGTTCCCCATCGGGGGATCGAGACGGACGGGATTGGAGCTGAGTCTGAGAGAGCAAGAGGACCGTGGGAGACAGCGAGAGCCCAAGCAAGAGCTGCAGAAGCAGCAGCAGCATGAACTGGCGGTGGTGGGGCGGAGAGGCCTAGGGGACCTCCCCGGGGTGAGTGGGGATAGATCCCGGGGGGCCAGTTCCGCAGGGAACCTCGAGACTAAATTGCTGCCCCTGGTTAAGGAGGGGGGGGGTATGGATGCCCACCTCACTGCCTTTGAGCAGGCTGGCGATTTGAACCAAGGGGACCCTGCGGAAAAGCCCCGGTGTCTAGCTCCCTTGCTGGGTCCCAAGGCCATAGACTCCGTCAGCCAGATGCTTGGGGATGTGGACAGGCTCCCACTCCTGACCCCAACCTATATGTCTGTGTGGAGTTTCCTGGGGCCAGGCCCCTCGGACCTCCAGTGGGAGCAGAAGGTGATGGTCAATGGGGAGACATTCTTGGGGTGGCCAAAGGGCACGGGCCGCATAAACCTTCCCACATGCGGCCTGCGAGTGCTATCGACCACCCCTGACCTAAGGGAGGGCGTGAAACTGGAAGGGCCTGGTGTAACTCCTACCAAGGAATGGGAGAGATGCTGGGGCATCCATGGGAACGTTGGTGGCTTCGAACTTCCCCAGGTCACCGGCTAAAGTGACCCCGCTCAGTTCCATCTCGAAGGGGGGAGAGATGTGATGAAGTGGGACTGTTCTTAATGTTTCCTCTGAATAGTGTGGGGGTGCCTCAGTTTCCCCTAGGCAGTTCTTAAGTATCTAGGGGGTGGAGTAAGGGTGTATGATCATTGCAGAGCCCTAGAGGGCAGGTGTGTGCAGGAGTCTGGACACAGAGAATGGCCGACACCCTGTTTCCTGGCAACTGATGGCCTGGGCCCTTCCCCCCCTGCAAGGTGAGAGCTGAAGGGCTGGAGAACAAAGGAATCAGGTGACCACCTGGCCCGGGAAAGGAACAAAGCCCAGAGGAGGAGGGGCTGGAGGGGGTTTCAGTTTGGGGCTGGCTGGGACATGGAGTGAAGTGCAGACGGGGTTGTCTGGCTCACTGCCCCCCAAAATGGACCCAGCTGAGGGGTCCCGTTCTCTGCACCTGCAAGCTCTGTTTTAGACCATGTTCCTGTCGTCTAATAAACCTTCTGTTTTACTGGCTGGCTGAGAGTCACGTCTGACTGCAAAGTTGGGGTGCAGGACCCTCTGGCTTCCCTAGGAGCCCCGCCTGAGCGGACTCGCTGGGGGGAAGCGCACGGAGGGGCAGAGGATGCTGAATGCTCCGAGGTCAGACCCAGGAAGGTGGAAGCTGTGTGAGCTGTGTGTCCTGAAGACAGGCTGCTCACAGAAAGGCGACTACCCCAGAGTCCTGACTGGCTTCATGGGGAGCAGTTCCAGATCATCGCCCAGGGACTCCGTGACAACTTCCCATAGCCCTTGCTTAGCAAGCATGTTCAACAGTTCTTTGTACATCGTTTATCTTAGTTATTAGTGATTAGAGTTGTTGGGGGTCCCCACCACATTTCGACTCCCTGGAGCCGTGCTATGCCGCGGTCTCCGGGGTTTAAAACCTGGGTGGTCTGCGAAAAGCGCATGCTGACGAGCGATCCACACTCCTCGTGCTTACGGTGCCTAGGGGAGGGCCACCAAAAGGATCGCTGTAAGATCTGCCACAAGTTCCACCCTACAACTCTTAAAGAAAGGGAGCAGCAGCTTAAAGTGATCCTCATGGAGGCCACTCTACGCTCCCATTCGAACCTGGGCTCAGGGCACCCGGCTCCTAACGCATCCTCAACGTGGAGCACCCCGGCACCGTCGTCAAGCTCAGTGCCGAGAAAAGACTCGTCCCGGGAGGTCCCTACGGGCCACCAGCTACAGCTTCCTTCAACGCCAGAAGCTTCTGAAGCTGCGCGGGACCTGCTACACCTTACGGCACTGTTCTCGCCCCCTAGGAGAGAGGAACCTTCGGTGCTGGCAGTCCCGCCCCACCCCTATGGGCAGTCAAGAGGGAAGCCAGCAATTATGACCATGCATTCCCCCTCTCCATGTCCTTCGGTACTGGCCCACTCGGACAGAGAACCTACTCGCTCCCCAAGCTCTTGACATTCGAGGCACCAAAGCTCGGCTCCTCCGTGGTCTTCAGTCTCAGAGACCTCGGAGTCAGAGTCCCACTCGTATCGCTCCAGGAGAAGTAGGAGCCGACAATCGAGGTCAGGGAGAGACAGGAGAGAGCCCCAGGAGTGGCCGCTGCAGTGGCAGAATCCACCACAGTGGCCATTCTGGACCCCCTGGGCCTTTCACCAAAGCCAGAGAGGGATTCAAGGGCACCACTCTGCTGCATCTTCTCTGGCCTCCGCCACGTTCATCCCGGCATCAACCGTGCAGCTAGCCTCGGCGCCACCCACACGCCAACGCCTTTGCCTGCGGCACCGTCGCCCGCCTCAGCACCAACTTCGGCACCAGGGACTCGTTCAGCTTTGGTGCCAGCACCGATCTTGACACCGACTACGGCGCAGGCACTGGTGACCCCGGCCTGACACCAGCAATGGCCCCGCCCCCTTCGTCGGGGCAGGCAGGGGTTTGGCACCAGCTCCATGAGTGGTTCCAGCAGGGTTGCTGATGGCTGTACCAACCAGCTCCATCGGCACTGCCGTTGCCCCAAGAGTCGCGGGACACCTTGGGAGCAGAGGGCGGGGAGCATCCGCTTCTTACAGGGGCTTCCTCCTCCTTGTCTCCGGATGAGGCATTGGCAGGCGCAGCCGTAGCCCCGGCGCTTGAGGACAACAGAGCAACTGCGCAGGGCTGCTCAGGATCTGGGCATTTAGTTGAGGAGGCTGATCCCAAGGTGGACATCCTCACCCCCTCAGAACCTTCTCCTATTGCCCTGCCGCTGATTAAGACTATTGTGGACACCACCAAGACCCTGTGGCAGACCCCAGCTTCCTTACCACCCACTGCCAAGTGCAACGAGAGGCGTTATTTTGTGCCCTCCGAAGGGTACGAACATTTGTACTCCCACCCACCTCCTGACTCTCTTGTCGTGGATGCTGCTAACCAGCATGAGTGGCAGGGCTTCCAGGGGCCCTCCCCAAAAACAGGGAGGCTAAGTGACTTGACCTTGTTGGGAGAAAGGTCTATTCTACAGGGGGTCTGCAGTTCCGTATTTCGAACCAGCAGGCCATCGTCAGCAGGTACTCGTACAACACCTGTGCGGCGATGGCCAAATTTACAGAACTCCTCCCTTCGGACTCCTGAGACAAGTTCTCGGCCTTGGTGGAGGAGGGAAAGCTAGTCTCCCGGGCTTCCCTCCAGGCCGTGTTGGATGGTGCAGATGCCGCCACTAGGGTCATGGCGACTGGGGTAGCCATGAGGAGGGGCACCTGGATTCAAGTCTCAGGGCTCCCTTATGAGGTCCAACAGACCATTCAGGACCTCCCATTTGAGGGTGAGACTCTTTTCTCTGAAAAGAGACAAGAGGCTGCACAGCCTGAAAGACTCACAAGCCACCCTCAAGTCCTTGGGTCTGCACACTCCCGTCATGCAGTGGAGACACTTCAGGCCGCAATCTCCTCCGAGATTCCATCAACAGAACCGACAGGACGGTTCTTGGAGGAGGAACAGGAATGGCAGGAGAAGACAACACCCGTCTTCAGGCCAGGGCTCTGGGCAACCCAAACTGCTGTCTGGCCCCAAAGTGGCCTTTTGAAGGTGCAGTCGAGGACACCGCACCAGATCAGAGACTGGATCTAGCCCCCCCTTACCTTTTCCTCCTGACTGTCCCCTTTCTACCGTGCATGGTCCCATATCACTTCAGACCGCTGGGTGCTCCTCACAGTAGAGGGGATACTCCAACCAATTCTGTGCCCTCCCGCCCTTCTACCATCTTCTCTCAAGCATCTACTCATCCAAGAGGTGCAGTTGCTCCTATCGCTAAGGGCAGTGGAGGAGGTTCCTCAAGCACAGGGGTGAGGGCTTCTATGCCTGGCATTTCCTAATAGTGAAAGCCAAAGGCAGCCTCAGGCCTATCCTGGACCTGTGAGAACTCAACAAATTTGTACCTTCCTGGGGTACAGAACGAGCTGGCGGACCACCTCCGCAGGTCATTTCACAGCCACAAGTGGTCCCTTTGCCTGGTAGTTGCGATTTCAATCTTCCAGAGGTGGGGTTTCCCGCAGATAGATCTCTTCGCCATGCGACGCAACAGGAAGTGCCAGCAGTCCTGCTCCTTCCAGCATCACAGACCGGGCTCCAGCCTCCACTGGGGAGGTTCTCTCCTGTGCACCTTTCCACCCATACCGCTCGTTCACAAGGTGCTGCTCAAGAGCCACAGAGAACTAGCTCAGGTCATATTGATAGCACCAGCCTGGCCGCATCAGCACTGGTACACATCCCTCCTAGACATGTCCGTGGAAGCCCCGATTACCTGCCGCTCTTCCCGGACCTTCTGACGCAAGATCATGGATGTCTCCAGCACCCGAACCTCGAGTCGCTTCATCTCAAGGGGTGGAAGCTCCATGGTTAAATCCATTGGAGCTTTCCTGTTCAGACCCGGTTAGACAGGTCCTCCCTCTATGAGAGCCACATACCTTGCCAAGTGGAAGAGATTTGCAATCTGGTCGGTGCCGCGCCATTCGTCCCCGATTCAGCGCTGCTCATTCTGGACTACCTCCTCCATCTGAAGCAGGAGGGACTTTCATTGTCTTCAATAAGGATGCACTTAGCCACCATCTCAGCCTTCCACCCTGGGGTAGAGGGCCACTCTGTGTTTGCTAACTCCATGGTTAACTGATTCTTAAAAGGGCTCGACAGGCTGTACCCTAATGTCTGTCAGCCTTCCCTGCCTGGGACCTCAACTTGGTCCTTTCTAGGCTCATGGGACCCCCCTTTGAACCATTAGCAACATGCTCCCTGCTCTATCTCTCCTACAAGGTGGCATTCCTGGTAGCGACAACCTCAGCCAGGAGGGGGTCTGAGCTCAGGGCCTTGACATCAGACCCTCGCTACACCGTGTTCTATGAGCACAAGCTGCAGCTCAGGCCTCCTCCTGCTTTCCTCCAGAAGGTTGTGTCGTAGTTCCACATCAACCAGGACACATTTCTCCCGGTATTCTACCTAAGCCACATTCCAGCAGCAGGGAGCAGAGACTCCACTCTCTGGATGTCCAAAGGGCGCTGGCCTTATACATCGAGAGAACCAAACCGTTCAGAAAGTTGGTCCCATTGCTCGTGACAGTGGCGGAGAGAATGAAAGGTCAGCTTGTGTCGTCCCAACGCATCTCGTCATGGATAGTGTCCTGTATCTGTGAATGCTACGACCTGGCTGGTGTTCCTGCACCTCCAATCACTGCGCACTCCACCAGGGGGCAGGCTTCCCACTCAGGAAATCTGCAGAGCAGTGACATGGTCCTCCATCCACACTTTCACCACGCACTATGCGATTACCCAGCAGGCCAGAGACGATGTGACCTTCGGATGAGCAGTACTCCAACTCCGACCCCACCTCCTGAACTTGGGCTTGTGAGTCACCTGATTGGAATGGGCATGAACAAGCACTCGAAGAAGAAAAAATGGTTACTCACATCTCGTAACTGTTGTTCTTCGAGATGTGGTGTTCATGTCCATTCCAATACCCACCCTCCTTCCCCTCTGTCGGAGTAGCGGGCAAGAAGGAACTGAGGGGGTGGCAGGTCAGCAGGGCTCTATATTGGGCGCCATGAAGGCACAACTCCAAGGGGTGCCCAGGCCCACCCAACGGATGCTGCTATGGGAAAAATCTTCCGGCCACCATGCACATGCGCACGCACACACCTGATTGGAATGGACATGAACAACACATCTCGAAGAACAACAGTTAGAGAAGGTGAGTAACCGTTTTTTCCTTAAGTACCCTAGAATTAATTTCATCAGGCTCTGCTGACTTGAATATATCTAATTTATCTAATTATTCTTTAACCTGTTCTTTCCCTATTTTGGTTTATGTTCCTTTCCCCTTGTTGTTTACATCACATATCTAGTTACAATTAACCTTTTTACAGAAGACAAACAGGCATTCAACACCTCAGTCTCCTGATGTCATCCATTATTCACTCTCCTTCTCCACTAAGTAGAGGACTATGCTTTCCTTCCTCTTTCTCTTCCTCCTAATCGATTTAAAGAACCTCTTCTTATTGCCTTTTATGTCCCTTGCTAGGTGTAACTCATTTTGTTCCTTCGCCTTTCTGATTTTGTCCCTACATCCTTGTTCTATTTTTTTGTACTCCTCCTTAGCAGTTCGTCCATGTACCCACTTTTCATAGGATTTGTTTTGATTTTCAGGTCATTAAAGAGCTCCTGATGGAGTCATATTGACTTCTTACTATTCTTCCTATAATTCCATTGCATCAGGATAGTTTGCAGTTGTGCTTTTAATATTGTCTCCTTGAGAA